ACACACACACACACACACACACACACACACACACACACACACACACACACGAGGAAGGAAGAAAGGAAGAGAAGGAAGTTAGGTAATTTCCCACTAATTTTCAAAGATGGTCAAAATTAGCATTTTTTCTCCAATCCAGAAGGCCACTCATTTCTATTACAGCAATGTTTCAAAATCTGCTTTCCATTAATGAATAGATAATAACTACATTTGGGGGGTTAAAACTGAAATGCAGAGTTTTGCGTACTTTGAAAGTATAGCAGACTATAATAAAATACAGATAAAAATAAACTAGTGAAGAAAACGTATTTTGCTCATTTTTTTTTTTTTGTATTTGGACATAGCTCAGTCAATGAAACTCTTGCTATACAAGCACAAAGACTTGAGTTAAAGCCCCAGAGACCATGTGAAAACACCCAGCATGGTAGCCTATTAGTACTAGAACTGGGAAGGCAGAGATATGTGGATTCCTGAAGCTAGCTGTCCAGCCAGCCAGCCTAGCCTAATCAGCAAGCTCTAGGCCAGTGGGAGACGCTGTCTTAGAGAAGTGGTGGGGAACAAATTTGGTACCTTCTGAAGAACATTACTTCTGAGGTTGGCCTCTGGTCTCCATATGCACCTGCACACATGTGTGTACCCATATGACATGCACACCCAAAAATAGAGTTGGATAGTAGAATAGCAGATGTACAAACACTGAAGCAGTTTTGCCTACTCAGAGAATGTTAAAAACTATAGTTATCTAAGAGTTTGGCATTCACCTTCTGCCTCTGCCACAAGCATGCAGATATGGGTATATGGCACCATCTGTTCCAGTTCTGATTAGAACTCTCTGCCTCCCTCATGCCTACTCGGATCCCTTTTCCCACATCTCACTTCTTCCAAACTGTAAGGTGTGGAGAAGCACAGGCTCTTCTTGTCTTGCTGAACAAATAGGTCCTTTTCTTGTTCACGTGATCATGGTGGCATTGGCCACAGAGTGGACACATTGCTCTACAGACCCTCCAGGAAGACCCTGCAGTGTTATCTGAAGCTACCCTACCACAGGCCTGCCCTCTGCCTCTCTGCCTCTCTGTCCTCCTGGTGGGGGACTGAAGACATGGATGGATAGGTTTTCCCTCCCTTACACTACTCCAACTTCTGTCTCCTATGACTCAGAAGCCCGATAACATCCTATTTTTACTGCCTTTCTAGTTAACGAGCACCATAACTCAAAGCCCCTCTTCTCTCCTGCCTGCCATGGTGCTGCTAGTGCACAAACCTCCCCTGGTAACCCTTCTTCAGGAAGAATATAGAAAGCAGAGGTTCCATTATTGGTGCTGTTTTGTTTCTTTCTGGGGTTTGCTGAGCTTTTTGGGTTTGGTTTATTTTGAGTTGGTGTCTTCCTATATATCACAGCCTGGCCTTGAACACACGGCAGTCCTCCTGACTCAACCTCAAAAGTGCAGAGCTTACAGGTGTGTATCATCACACTCAGCTAGAAAGCAGTGTTAAATTCTTAATAGGAGGTGAGTCATCTGCTATGTTATACATTTTTTTTTAGTTGTCTGCACTTCTGATGCAGCAAAGTATCCTTAACAATTGGGTTTTTCACAGAATTTTCCAAAAGAACGTAGATAACCTCTCTTCCAGTTCTTTTTTTTTTTTTAATGCGTATGTATGTGTATGAGTTCATACATACAGGAGGGAGGGGGGTGTGCACATGAGTTTGGAGGCCAAAAGTCTGTGTTAAGTGTCTTCCTTGATTGTTTCTCCTTATTTTCTGATACAGGGTCTCTCACTGAACTTGAAACTCACCAAGTGGCTAGACTAGCTAGCCAGCCAGTCTCAGGCAACTGCCTGTCTCCACCACCCCAGTGCTGGGATTATAGGTGTGAACCAACACCTGCAGCTTTTTACATGGATTCTAGGAATCTGAACTCAGGTCCTCATGCTTGAGAGCTAGGCATTTTCCCAAATGAGCCATCTCCTCAGGACCCTGCCACTGTACTGTTAAAACGAAAGAGAAGGAGATGCCAAGGGTTGGAATCAAGCTGGTATTTTGCTTGTGAAACTCATGTTACTGTGAATGGTTGAATTCACTTCCTCCTTCTCTCCACAGCTAAGCACACGGATCCCCGGCCAAGGAGAAACACCGTCCATGTACTGTGAGGCCAAGCTGGGGGCTCACACCTACCAATCTGTTAAACAGCAGCTCTTCAAGGCTTTTCAGAGAGCTGGTCTTGGTACCTGGGTGAGAAAACCACCAGAGCAAGATCAGTTTCTACTAAGTCTCTAAGTCATTAGACTCCTTTGCTATTGGACCAGAGTGGAATGTCTGGAGGGGATGCAGCCGTATGATGGTGTGGTATATCCATCAGTTTTTGACATTTATTCTCCTTCAGTGTTCAGAAACACACATGTCCATGTTTGGATGGGAGACTAGATTTGAGTTTTGGTCATGCTATTTCCCCCTGGGTTGTTAGTTACAAGAACTCTGTCCACAAAGATAGAGATAGAACCACTATTGCATCAGCCCCATCCCTTACTGGGTGTCAAAAGGAAATAATCTGTTTTGGACAAGAAGAGCTTAGAGGCAATATTGAAACGTGGTACTTGAGTGTAGCCTCATGCATCATCCTCTGTGCTTCCTTCCCTTCCCATGGGCCTCTCTCATGGTGTGATTGAGTCTCACCAGCACAAGTTTATATGACTTCAAAATAAGTCACAGGTGAGAAGAAAAGCCATGGGCTCCCCAACTCCAAAGAACCCAACAGGAATGCTGTATTGTCTTCATTATTCATTCAGGCCTTTCCACTTTCTATCAAAAAGGACTTGAGATGGACACTGTTAAAGAGCAACTCAAGTAAATAAAACAAACCATGTTTATGACAGGAAGGGATAGACACCTGAGACACAAAAGAGTCATGATCTGTGATGCAAGAAAACTGCTTTTAAACTGCCCAATGGTAGAATGTTTCAAACAAGCCTAGGCCGATTGACTTGATCACAATCTTTTCATTGCTTTTCATAGATAATGGCAGTCATGGGAGAGAGAACTGCAGAATGCTTAACTACTACCCAATAATAGCAGATAAAGTAATGAAACTGACTCTTAGATCAAATTCTGAATTTTAAATGAATTTTTATTATAAAGAAAGCATACACATAAAACATTCAACAAAATCTTTAGGTTTGAGGAGCTACTCGATCTCTATCATTTTTAGGTTCCTTAATCATCATCTTGCATGAATAAAATAATAATAATTATAAAAATAATAATGATGACTTACCATAGCTGCCAAATTTAAAGAAACAGAGTTATACCATGTATAGAATGGGTATCAAAGTTCGTGGCTACATATAAATCTTTTTATTATTTAGCCTATATCATGATCCCTAAAAGGAGAAGACCCAGGCAAAGAGAGGCATGTCACTAACATATTTTTAGTCAACCCATGTTCCTTTAATTAATTTTTTCCACTTGGAACTCATTTCAACATTCATCAAGCTATTTAACATGTGCATAATCTTTTTGTTTGTTTGTTTAAACAAATCCCATCTGATGGGCTGTAGAGATGGCTCAGCAGTTAAGAGCACTTGGTGCTCCTAGAGAGGACTCTGGTTCATTTCCCAGCACCCACTGGCAGCTTACAACCATCCATAACTCCAGTTCCAGTGGTTACAATACCCTCTTCTGGCCTCGGAGGGCTCCATGCACCCATGCAGTACACTTATATACATGTGGGCAAACTATCATACACATAAAATAAAAATAAATAATCCCTTTTTAATTCCATCTGAAATACATTATTGGTTTTTTGTTTAGTTTTTAAAAGTATAGGAGGAGCCACTTCTAGAATATGGGATTCCTGGTTAGAATTCCAGCTTATCAATCCTCAATAAAAATTCAACCATTACATCATGATGTATATATTCTAACATATATTGCAGACATCACAAGAATGAGGTAAAAACATGAAATATATTGAACTGCAGTTATCTGATGCAATAAAAAGAAGAGTGGAGATATTAAGTCCTTGGATTTAATATGAGACCACATTTATCACTAAAGTTCTTTGAGGAAAGAATATGAGCACCATTGTAAAAACATTTTCAAGATAAACTTTCAAAGACATGCAAGTATTTTTGCAAATAAATGGTTAATATTAATCTTTCATAAATTCTGAGGAAAATGGAATCTTCATTCAGTGTAAAGGCTACGATCAAAGAGCCAGCTTGTAGTAATCTCTGATAACTTGACATATAACTAGGAGGAAGCTTAGAGACCCAAGAAACCTTGAGAGCTGAGTTGTGGCTTCTATGTTGTCTTTCCACTGTTAGGTACAGTTACTTCCTGGCTGAAATCTAAGACCTCCCTCAAACCATTTGTATTTTGAGGGGTGGAATGGAGAATGCACAGCACTTCACATCAGTGTGATCCAAACAGTGTTATAAAAACATTGGCATTAACTTCAGGGTCTTAAATGTTTCCATCATGTGATGGAAAGAGGAAGAACTGGCCACCTTTCAAGTATTCTCAATAAATACCGCCACGTTGGCCTATGCAAAAGACACAGAAAGCAGTTGCTTACCCTACAGTGAACACCATCATGTGCATAAATTGCAGGTCTAGGGATTCATGGTGTGTAAGGTACTATTTTTCCAGAAACGACCCATACTTTCCTAAAGATGACTATGTCTTGAAAAAAAAAAAAAAAGCCACCCATCGAATTCATTCTGCCTGTTAGCACTAACATAGAGATTCTCTTATTTACTTTAATTGTGTATGCATGGAGGGTATGTGCATATGTACATGTGTGTGCAGGTGCCTGTGGGAGGCTGAGGAGGGTGTCAGAGCTGCTGCAGCTAGAAGTTTCTATAAGAATGAAACACAAATAGGTCATATTTATCTTTTAGTCACCCTGAAAACAAATACAATCAAACAAATCAAAAAGAATATGGGTAGACTATAAAGAGGACAGGCAGGTATCTCAGCCACCTTGGTTGTTCCTTATCCACCTGATTTATCTCAAAACTACCCTGTATCTCTTTGATCTTTACACCCTTTGTTTTCAAATCTTCTGTCTTCTGTATTCACACCCATTGAGTCTCACCTCTAAAGTCCAAATAGAAGGAAGTCGGCATCATCTTTATCTGCCTCCAAAACACATTGCTTTCCTATTGGGGAGATAAGCAACTTAAGGTTCCCTGCCTGGTTCTCAGTCAAAAAGCCAGTGTCTATTCATTTGTGAACCTTTCCACAGGACTGAGCCCCATGGTAAAGTCCACGAGGGCACAGAAGCACTGCTCATCCACCTCCAGCAAAAAGATTTCACAACAATGTATAATATCAAGTTATTGAATTTAGGATTTCTTTGGATTTTGTTTTTTTGCCAAGTAAAAGATTTGCAAGTCCCTGACAATCGCTTCTTTTTGATTTCTGTGATCCTCTTTGAACCTGTATATATCACTATTAATTTTGTGATGTCTAGTTGTCTCTCACAAATGTCAGGCTAAGTTACTTTTCCAAAAGATGCATAGCTCATGTTTTTTCCATATAGTTTCCTTTTCATAGGACGGTTCTTACCAATAAATTTTGCTTTTTGTATAGTATTTACCATATTTGATGAGCCATAAATAGTAAATACATAGTATATCAATGCCCAGAATAGAATAGTGGCAGTATTTTAATGAAATCCTATTTTTAGATTATAAATTTCAAGATGAGTCTATAGTATCTTGTTTAAAAAATTTAAAAAGACAATTGAAATTTAAATATAGTAGACATTTTTTTATTTAGGGAAACTTCTATGATAATTTTTAAGAAGCCATTCTAATAAAATGACCTAATTGGCCCAAAAGATAATAAATATTACTTTCTAGTAGCAACCAAAGGAAATTTAGAAAATTTCTTTCTTTTTATGTACTACCAGTTGACTGCTGTGACCACCTTTTCTGGCCAAAGTCTCAGCAAAACCTGTTTCTCCATCACTCTTATCTAGGACAGTTTTCAGAATCAACAGTCTTGTGTAGGACTAAGAGATCTACTATACTAAACATTTTGAAGAACTACCCCAGCTTTAGATGGTTGCAGTTCATGAGGGAGTAAAGAATTCAAAGTGCTGCCTCAGGAAAGGATATAACACCAAGAGTCAATTCTTACTTGGGGCGAGGGGTGGGGGAAGGGGGCAGTGATGTAATGTTAGGGATGACATGGAGGTTTCAGTGGGGACTGGGGTACTTCTATGGAGGGCTTGGAAAGGGTTGGGCCCTGGGCGCTGTCCATGGTTCTGACTCGTAGTTAAACATGGAAACACAACTATTTCTGGGAACACTAGGGTATCAGTAGCTCTTCTCAAACTTCTTTCACTAAGTTTGAATCAGATAAGTGATGATGGAGAAATAAGGAAATAGAAACAAAAGGACATAGATGGAGGCCACCAGAGAGATGTCATGGAGAGCAGAGCATTATCCCACATAGTTTCTTCAATCCCAAATCTAGGGAACCAGAATATAGAGTTGTTCATTTTCCCAGCAATTCTACTTTAGATTCTTTTCTCATCCCCCCTCACCACATTCCTGCAGTCTGTGCTTCCCTCCTACTAACCTTCTGCTCTTTGTTCTGGTCCCCTGGTGCACCTTAGAGGAGTGAAGTAGCAGGCAGATTGCTGTTCACAGTCAGGAAGCTCCCTATGTCTTCATGTGATAGCATGACTACAGGGATTTACAACCATCATTCTGGACTCCCAGAGCATGTCCATTTCAGCTGACCTCCACCCAAAAGAATCACAGATAACCACATCTCAAGAAATTTAAACCAAATGATAGCATCCCTGCAGGGAAATGTATAGTATCAAAACCTGGAGAAAATACCACCTTATTTCCCAACTCATCCTTTTTTAAAAGGTTTGGAGAGACGATGCACCCTTTTAAAAATAAATACAAAATTATCTGAATTCTAGTGCCTCTTTCACATGGGCACCTGATTTCTATCACCTGGAAGTCTGTGAAATCAATTTAATTAAATCTTTCCCAGAGGTGCCCAGCTAATTTTCAGCACTTTTTAAGTAAAATGGACTTAAAAACTAGTCATTCTTAGTTGAAGGTATGTACATAAAAAAAAGCATGATCGAATGGCAATATTGTATCAATGAATGTATATTTGTAATATTTGTAAAATAAAATCCAAAACCTTACAATATGAATTTACATATGTTAATTTGCCTCTTCTGAGTTCTGTAAATTGCACTTTGGTGATACCTGATAAGTGAATGTTTCTCTTAAGTGAATAAAAATATCAAGTAAAGTTGTTCTTCCCTGGGTTGTCTGGCCTTTTTCATCAAGCTGTGTGTTGGGGAGCCTTTCAAACATTGTGATGTACAGGGCTTAAGTAAAGCCTGAGGAGGATCCACCTTCTTCAAAGAAATAGAATATTTGCTCTAAAAACTTTTTTTCTAATAATACTCATGTCAATTATCAGAATATGCCAGAGTAACAATTACTAGCCCAGATGTTGCCCTTTTAGAGCTGATGTAATCAAACTAGTTAAATTATCATGGAACTAGGAATGAAAACACTTGTCATCAAGCCTTGAGTCAGTGACTCATTCTACCTATGTGAAATGGAATGAGTGACTTCACGCATGACTTTGAACCTCAGTTTTATCACAGTCGAGTGCTGGAAACAAGACATATATACAATTTCACAGGATTTCCCAGGGAAATCAAGGAAGTCAGGGTTACAACACTATGAAAAGGTAACACATTGTGAAATTCAATATGTTCTCAGTTCCCCACCCAAATTTTCCACAGCAGATGAAATACGGCAGTGGCTGACAATTGTACGGTCGAACACTGGTCCTAGTGGATACCAGGGCATAAGATGAACCTAAAACTTCACTCGAGAATGTTTATGGCCTCAACTCTAACTCTGCGTGGACGGAACATTCTGAAGCTCAATCTATTCCAATAGCACATTTTGCTTCTTTCCAGAAACATAAGCTTAGACACAAATATATTCAGAAACGGACGTTTCCTAATGAAAGAGCTTTGATTTTTCTCCCATTACCCTGGGAATAGACAAAAATTTAAAATATGCTGAACAGGCGTCTTCTATACTATCATTTGAAAGACTGAGTAATATCTTTTGTTTCAAAGTATTCTTACCTTAGAACATATCTGAAATTCTACTACACATGCCCTTTAATCAAAGATTTCTTCCATTTTTTCAGTCTATATTTATTTACATTAGCAAGAGTAATGCTTAGGTGAGAGCACGTGATATCCTAGGCAAAGGTGGTAGTGGGGACTGAAACAGATTATGAGAAGATTGACTTCCTCCATTCTCAATTTAGTATCAGTGGTGTGTGTGTGTGTGTGTGTGTGTGTGTGTGTGTGTGTGTGTGTGTGTAGTGTGTGTATGTGTGGTGTGTGAATGTATATGAATGATATGGGCACTCAGGTGCATGTATAGGCCCCACAGGTTGATGTTGGATGTCTTTCTTGATCATGAACCATTTTATTTATTAAAGCAAGATCTCTCGCTGAATCTGGAGATTACTAATGTAAGTAGCAACTTGCCACAGAGACCCCTTGCTTCACTGCCCAAGGCCTGGAATTACAAGTGGGCTACCACATCCACCTGGATTTTGTATTGGTGCTGGAGATCCAAACTCCAGTCCCCGCAATTGCACAGCCAGCACTTTACCCATGGAGCCATCCCCCAATCTTGAGCTTCTCATTTTTTAAGTCTGATAGCCACCCCTAGTAGAGGGATAATAAGAGGGTAGGATTACTAGTAGGAAATCAAGAATACCACCTGAGAGCTAGGGATATAGTTCAGTGGTAGAGCTCTTGACTGGCATGTATAAGATCTTGGATTTAATGCCCAGTAAAAAAAAAAATCTGCACTGGAGAAATGCTCAGTGATGAAGATCACTGACTGCTTTTTCAGAGGACCAAGGTTCAATTCCCAGCACTCATATGACCATCTGTAGTTCTTTTTCCAGGGAATCTGATGCCCTCTGCTGGCCTCTGGGGGAACAGAGCATTCATGTGGGCAAAACCCTGTTCTCATATAATAAATCAGATAATAAATTTAAAAACCCAATAAACACAGATATTTTTTAAAGGTAAACATGATGGCTCACACCTGTAATCCAACACTAAAGAAACTGAGGCAAGAGAATTGTCATACATTTTAGGGCAGCCTGGGCTATATGGTGGCAGCCTGTCTCAAATAAAAAAGAAAAGAGAGGATGTCTGATGTGGCTGAGAGGTGTTCAAGAGAGCTCTCAAGTACACTTTAAGTCACCCTGTTGGCATTACCAAGCTTCAAGAACGTGAGCATTCGCTGGTGACAGGAAGCGTGTCTCATCTGCAGCAGAAACGGGTCTCTGAACTAGTTTATATTATCTCCCAGAAGTGACTTTCAGCCCTGCTACCCATTGCTTAATATTGCTCACAGTAGAACCCTACTACAGGGGGAGGATGGATCTATCATGTTTGGAAATGAGTGGTCAGGGCCTTGGTAACCTCTTTAACTGGTTTTACATACATGCCCAAAGCATTCTGCAAGCCAGTCAGGCCCCTGCCTGCCCTAGCCTGGAGCAGAGACATCTTTCTTGTGGCATTTTTCTTTCTTGTTGAGATTTTTTTTGAGGCATGGATCATGAAGTTTATGATATATTGTCTTAGTAAAAGGTTTCAGCTAAGCGTCTGTTGCCAAGGAAAGGAGCGAGAGTCTACTCCTGCTCTTAAAATGTGATCAGTACACATGAAGGTTGAAGGACAAAATGGCCACAGCAGTGGATGTTAAGCCCTGTGATTGATCACACCCTTGTCTACTTCAGAGCTATTAAATCAAGTTCCCATACTCAAGTTTAACATGATGGCAGAAATACACTCTTTCCAGTGAGGTTCAGAAAGCCACCCTCCTTAAAGGGCCAGCTTTATGGAAAAGACACACTAAAGATGAAGTTCAAAGGAGGTGGGGATACAGCTTGCTTTGCAGCATCCTTGCCTAGCATGAATGAAGCTCTAGGTTAGACCCCATAAACCAGTCTGCTGCTGCTGTTGCTGCAAGCCTGCCATCTCAGTGCTTAAAAGGTAGAGTTATGTGGAGGATCCGAAGTGCAATGTCACTCTTGGCTGTATACTGAATTTGAGACCAGCCTTGGCCAGAGACCTTGTCTCAACAGGAAAGAAGATGAAGTATGAATAGAGCCAAATATGATAATGATAATGATGGCCAAGTACTGATATACCTCAAAGCAGTCACACTCAGTTCCTCACTCTTCGATTAAAAACTGCTTGACTAATCCTAAAATTGACTAAACCTGAATTCAGAAGGAGCTTCAGTGGTATGCCTGTGTGTGAGCATATTTGTATATACATATGCATGTGTGAGTGTATGCTTGTGGAAGTCAGAAATAAACCTTGGGTATCATTTTTCAGTAATTGTATACTCTCTTTTTGAGGTAGGGACTCTCTAATCTGGAACTCTCCAAGAATACCAGCCTGGTTGGCCAGTGAGCCCAGTGATCCATGTGTCTCTCTCCCCAGTGCTAGAACTACAAGCATAGATTACCAATGCTTGGCCTTTTTGTTTGTTTGTTTTGTTTTTTGAGACAGGATTTCTCCATGTAGTTTTGGTGCCTGTCTGGATCACTCTGTAGACCAAGCTGGTCTCAAACTCACAGAGATCTGCCTGGCTCTGCCTCCCAAGTGCTGGGATTAAAGGCGTGTGTCACTGCCACCTGGCCTGGCATTCATTTTTTATGTGGTGCTAGGGAGTAGACTCAGGTCTTCATGCTTACAAAGCATGTACTGACTGAGCTACCCCAGACCCTAATGTTGATATTTGTAAACACAGCCCCCTTACTTGTTTGGAACTCAGGTTGGCTACAGAATTTTGACAAATGTCTGGCCCTCATTATAAGAAAACAAACTTCATGAACTCTTCAACAAGAGATGGGTTTGCTTCTGTGAGGAAGTGGGCTCAGGTGAAAGAATGGAAATGTGATGTCCTTCAGAACCAGACAAGTGGATTTCTGGTCCTGGCTGTGTCATCAGTTGGTTCTGTGACTCCGTCAAGTTGCATTGCTCTTTTAGGGAATGCATCTGCACTTAGCAAGTAGCTCAGGTGAGTGACTTGTCTTTGTCAACAGCAACACTTGAAGACAGCATAATATTTTAATGACAAGAGCCTATTAGTCCCCAAGAGGTGGGAAGTACTGGAGAAAAGAACAGAGAATTTAACTCACTGAAGGTAATGAGTTGTCCCATAGAATAATAAGGTGATAGAATTTCCAAGTCTAAGAGAGAAAAAAGTATCATGAAAGTGATTGGTCAGGGATAGAGTTCACTGGCAGAGCACTTGCCTAGTGTGCATAAGGAAAATGGTCAATCATTTAAAATTAATTCAAAAATAAGAGTACAAAGACTTAGAACAATTATTTATAACCAAGAGAACTGGGTGAGTGTTAGTAAAGATGCCATTAGACATTCTGACATAATGAAGTAAAGTGAGAATAAAGACCATGGAGTCAATAAATACAGGTGGTTCATTAAGAGACTTCACTAGAACAAAAGCAAGAGGAGGCTGGTCAAAAGGAGGAGTGTTCAACAGATAGAGTGTGCTCAATGTCAAGTGGAAAGTACTCAGAATAAAGCTGAGAGAATCTTCCAGAGACAGTCAGGACCATCCAGGGACCAATACAGGCAGAAGAAACTTCCAGAGCTGGCCTCTGGTGTGACCTTGTTCTCACTGCTGCCCTGGACCCATCTTATCTTATGCACAACCCAGATGTCATTAGAAGTCTTATAAAAGGGTCTTGGCCAGTATGGAAACGGAAATTCTACCAAGACCCTGATTTGAGGCTTATGGCTTTGTTCTGATTCTTTACTGATGCATGTGCTTCACATGTAGCTTGTGTTTAATAACTATGTGTAAATAGTGGATGAATATGTGTTTCTACTGATGAAGAAGGGCACAAGGAGGTGGGCAGCAAAGAAAAAAGACTTGAGCAAAACCAGGATAATCTTTTCAAGCACTCAGCACAAATGCAAGAAGCATTACTACCTCGTCCGTCATTTTAGCTTTTCTAAGCTGGAAAGCACTCCAAGACTCAGCACTAAGCAAGCCTAAAATGTTTCCACCATCTTTCCCTTTGAAACTATGACCTTAAACTGGAAATGCTCAGGAATATACTCCTATTGAGTATACTCAGTAATGTGCCTGACCCTAACACACACGCACCAAGTGAAGAGGAAGGGACATACCCATGCACACACACACACACACACA